TGATCTATTTATTTGATCTATCTCCCCCGTTCAATACATTGCTCCCCCAACTCTCAATCAGACACTCACCCTCACACTTGCTCTTTCTCTATTTCCCCTCAGTCTCTCAACCTCTTTCTTCTTTAAAAAGCGTTCCATCCCTTCTCTTTCTCCCTCTCTACATATATTTCTGCTTCCACCTTCCCTCTCTTAACCGATCTCTGTATTTTCCTCGCTCTCTCTCTCTCATATTTTTTCCTCTCCACCTTTTCCACATTATTATATTTCTATCTAAAGTTTCTCTCTCTCTCTCTCTCATCTCTCTCTCTCTCTTTCTCTCTCCTTCCTCTCTTTCTCTCTCCATCTACTTCGACCTCCTGGATGGATGAAGAATGGAAATAAAAATGTAGATAATCGATAAACATGTATAATATTTGTAGAATATAGGCGAACATGAGAGAAAGAGAAAGTGAGGAAGCCTTAAGGAAGGAGAAAGAAAAGAGAGGTAATGTTAGAAAGAAAGCTATGAAGTTTAATCTAAAGAGAGAGAAAGATAGAGAGGAATCAGACGGAACAATGTCGATGCATACAGAAACGGGACATTTCAGCTAATATCATATTACTATGTATATCACACCAAAAATAAGTACAATAAACACATGTTATTTGATGATTGCAAATGATCAAGCTTTATGAAAGCTCAAAAAACAAAAAAAAACAGAATCGAAATCGGTCAATGCGTTGTGATTTTATACCAATTTCTTGAAATCGCAAAATTACCGAAAAACCTGCCAGAATTGTCAAATTGGCAAAAATTGAAAATTTCGACAAAGTTGACAACTTAATTAACACTTTCTTGGACACAAAAAATAAATTAAATTATCAGACACTTAAATATCATCTTTGTGGTAAAAAAATACAAAAAAGAAAATTCATATATCTATTACCGTTTGAGAACAGAAGCCAACAAAATAAGTTATTTTTGCCATTTTTTCGAATCTGCAGATATGAAAAAGTTGTGAAAGTAACTAAGTCCGCCCAATTAATATGCGCATATGTAATCAAACAAAATCGAACGTGATACATCAGTGTTACCTATGTATATCAGTTAGTTATGGAAAATATTTTATTTGAAGAAAAAAAAATCATGAATATTCATCAAATATGCAAATTAGGTCATTTCAGCTAATATATATTTCGCGCACTCATATGCAAATTAGGAAAGTCAAACTCTTCATTTTGTGGCATTTTTAAAATCATATATTTATAGATCATATTTACACCAAATATTTGATTTTTGATTTGATTTGATTGATTCTTGGTTTCTGCATCTTCTTTCTTTTTTTCATCATACATTTGTATGAACATAATATGGTTTGATACAATATTTTAAGTGTTATAATTTTTACAGATAATAAACGAATTTAAACAAATATATTGAATGCATAATGAACATACATTAGATGCATGAGGGCTACAGAAATAAGCAAAGTAGCTTGACGTGCCCGCAGCCCTCAACTTAGATACAACAACAATAACATATACAAATAGAAAAGACTGACTTGCAGAGAAGAAAAGGAAAGGGGAGAGAAGGAGCGTTGGTAATAATACAATAAATACAATTCACATTAATTCCAAAATATTTTGCAATGCCAATAAAATATGGCGATGGGAAATTACTTGGATCACCGTCACAGCTATTTCCTCATGTGTTTCACAATTTTTTCAGGAAAACCGATAAAATTGCAGACTTTCAGCTACATCACAGTATATTGTTCTTTTAAAAAAATGTCAGATTTGAGGATTTATGACGATTTTCCGAGAAACCATTCAACAGGCAATAACATTCCACAGGAACTGACTTTCAGAGTAACAAAATATTTTGGTGATCCCAGTACAATTGTGGCTACCTTGAGTGTAAACAACAAATTGATTCAAAGAGTGAAACATATAAGGATATTGCATTTTTTGTAGGGGAGTTTTTATACATTGAGGTGCATTTTCACCACTCAGAATAAAAGTGCAAGTCAATGGGCGGTCAGCGGGCCATGTCAACATGGCTGCAAATACAATATTCTAATTAAATAATTTAACATTTTTCCACACGCCTATAACAATGAAACTACACAGAATTGTAGTTACAGGTATGCTTGAAATATATGTGAAATCAAAATTTAAAAAATATTGTTTAGTTTTTTTAAATAAATTTACAAAAAATTGCTATTTCTACCAACTGACTGCTGTTGTGTGTGTGTGTTCGCGGGGCAGACTGTGCACAGGCTGTGTGATCACCTAATATTACACTGTTGGTCATAATGGTGGAATATTTATTTTACCCCAGTTTAGGGAAGGATTTTAAAAATTATTTATTTCTAATAGATCTAGATAATGGCATAGATTCTCAGATTTTATTGAATATTAATTTGCGAATGTTTGTTTTGCGTGACTGCTTAATCATATCTGTTACTATGCTAACAGCTAAGGGACCTACGTCCTTAAGTCATAATTGACAGTAATGAGGATTAATGCCTCACAAAAGGGCACTAATATATAGCTGATCGACACGATTTTTATCCTGAGGCTTCACAGTAACAAGGCCATTGCTTAGCCCCTGAATCATGACTGTACGTAGTGTTTGATAGGGTACGTGGCCCCTCCACAAATCCCCCAAAACGAAGAAAATGCAATAAATTGTCAAAAGTTCATTGCTTTTTCCCCGGCCCCCAACAGGAAAAATTCGTCTGTAGGGCCATGCATTATGGTTCAAGCATGGCCATACAGAGGAATTTTTCCCTTTTGGGGGCCGGGGGAAATGCAATGAATTTTTGAAAAAATTATTGCATTTTCTTCGTTTTGGGGATTTGTGGAAGGGGCCACGTACCCTAGCAAACACTGCGTACAGTCATGATTCAGGGCTAAGCAATGGCCTGGTTACTGTGAAGCCCCAGGATAAAAATCGTGTCGATCAGCTATATATTAGTGCCCTTTTGTGAGGCATTAATCCTCATTACTGTCATTATGACTTAAGGACGTAGGTTCCCTAGCTGATTAGCATAGTAGCACACATATGATTTAGCAGTCACGCAAAACAAACACTCGCAATTAATATTCAATAAAATATGAGAATGTATGCCATTATCTAGATCTATTAGAAATAAATAACTTTTTTTAAATCCTTCCCTAAACTGGGGTAAAAATAATTATTCCAACCATTATGACCAACAGTGTACTTGATTTTATTTAGGGAGAATTAGGTAATGCATGACACTGGATAATATTTCTCATATAAATGCCATTAACAAATGAAATTCGTAGATAAGCTTTTATCCCACAAATATAGATAGATGTGATGAACTTAGACGCCCCCACCCATCAAGGCATGACCCAGTTAACAGACCAACACTGAACGTATGATGCATTGACTCTTTATAACCCTTCCTTTGTGGGTCAAAATAATATCATGTCTCCACGGTAAATACCTCCAATAAGATGTACAAACAAATATTTGGTTTCAGTATAGTCGCATATGACAGTTTATCTCTCTCTGTTTTAATTGGAAATATTATTTCCTTTTTTAACTGCATAATGGTGACACCGTTTACATTGGTTTGAATTTGTATAGTCATACCCTTAGGCAATATCAATGACAGATAAGAAATTTTTTTGAACAATACCATATACCTAAATGTAATCAAACAAGTTGTCATCTATTCATGACAAGAATAATAATAATGAAATTGAATTGCAATGTCAGATGATTTAGTTAAGTCCATTTAGTCCCAGGTGCGTGTGTAAGTGTTTGCTTTTGAATCTCCAATACAAGATGCCAAGTTCCTGTAGATAAGGACGATGTATATTGGTTATCGTTGTCACGGCAACCATGTCTCCACTCCATAGTCATTTCTATTCGAGACATTATTCACATCGTAGTGATTCATTAATAACATTATTTAAAATAACTATTTGTCTGTTTTTGTTTGAAGAAGTCTTCATCATTAGGTCTCGAAGTAGGCCTACTTACATTTGTGATCGTTTTTTTTAGCGAAACATTTCAGGTATAGATTACACTTCGAGCGAACGAAGTGAGCGAATAAGGAAAGAAAAAAAATCAAGCTTTAACGATCGAAAAAACAGAAGGCATTACTTTCCTAATTATAGTAACAGAAATAGGAATAGAATAAAGGGTCAGTTTTGGCAGGGGGGGGGGGGGGGGGGCATTTGCTTGCCCGGGGCACTAAAATCCCGCGATATTCATGCCACAGGGGCACTTGCTTCCATACCCCACCCTATGGCTATACTAGTGGTTCCGACCATGCTTTTCGATTGCTTTTTAGGGTATTATTTATTGTTTGAAAGAACGTGAATTTAAGGATACAAGTCATCATTGTATTCCTGACAGAGTCCAACACAACCAACATTACGTACGAATATCAGAGGGTCCACAGCGACCATCACGGTCTACACGGTGTATGGCTGTCGCACGAGATAATGTCCGGGGCCTAGAATGTAAACTAGTTTACATCTCTCACTTGTTCAATACAAACAAAAAGCAGAACATCATACAAACTTACTTCATATTTCTTTATCAACTAATCACGAAAGAAATCTAGCAAATTTGTGGCGCTCTAATATAACAGAACCGTATACATGGCTTCAAAATTATAACTCCATCAATAAAATTCACACTAAAAACTCACACCTTCATAATATACCAACACAACTTTCGTCTCATTGTAAATGAAATGTATGTGTTGTTTATTGATTTCTTTCGCGCGTGAGTACTTGAATTTATTTTACCTGACTGCTAAGAAAGCATAAATAAATGATTGTAAGTAAGCAACCAGACGGCCGACTTGGGTCCTCTCCGAAGGACCTTGTAATGAGGATTAATGCCTAACCAAAGAGCACTAGCGCATCGCCTCGGTTTCGAACCCGGGTCACCGGATTACGAGACACTGCTCTACCGACTGAGCTATCGCGCCTACTTGAAGTCATACAAGAACATCATGAGTGTTAATACTTACATTCTTCAGGAACACCTGGGAGCCCACCGCAGCCAAACAGGCCATTGCAATCATCTGTTGAATTTAAATATTTGAAGACAAAGTCGAAATGTGATACAGATCGATGTGTCATTCCACAGTTTTTACTTTAAAAAAAAGAAGCATAACTTACAGCAAATGCATACATTCTCTTTGGCAGTTCAATAGTTTTTAATCATGCCTATCACTGACTAATTATTGTACGGATGCTATATTGATTTAATTAATGATTTTGATGTCATGATATCTTTATACCGGTTGTGAAATCACGGGACAAAAAGGAGATGATTGATTAAAGATGGCTGTAGTAAGATGTGGGACCCGTGACAAAAATGTGTGCAATCAATTGCAAAATGGTAATAGCCAATCAAGATCATCGTTACATGTAGGCGCGGATCAAGGGGGGGGGGGGGCAAGGGGCCTTGCCCCTCCCCTGGTCAATAAAAATTGTGACCAGAAATTTAGCCTTTTTTTGGCTCAAGGGGGGGGGGGGGGCGAAATATCGGCGGGCGGCGATTTTCAAATATCCGGGGCAAAAAATAAAAATAAAAATTAGTGCTACTACCCCCTACCCCCCTCCCCCCCCCCCCCCACCCCTGAATGAAATATCGGCTGGCATGATTTTCAAATTTCAGCACACTAAATTTCAAATTGATTTCAAATTTGGCCCCCCCCCCTAAGAAATCCTTGATCCGCGCCTGGTTGCATGCACATATGATTAATCAACAATGCTGAAATGCCAACCTTCATTCACCATGTCATCATCACTTGTGAGAGCCTCCATGGCCACGCCTAACGCGTTGTCACCTTCATTCACAGAGTTTATAGCCGCGGCACTCGCCGCGCCTATGAGAACGAAGAGAAGGAGCAGGGCGGTAATGGTCTTCGATGCCATGATGAGCTCAGCTAAATGAAAGGGAAATTATTGTAACGGATAATTCTTCAAAGTTGTCATAATGCAGGCGGAGTTTGATCATTCCATATGTTTAGAGCTTGTAATTTTTTGATAGTGAAAAATCACGGGAACCTGACGTAATTACATTATTCTGTTACAAATATTTCAATATGTGCTCAAAAGTGCAGTCAAACGTGTCCAAGTGCAATTGGTAAGTAAGCTGGGACACAGGGTTAATATGAATAAGGAACTGAAAAGGGTTTTTGACAAAATCAATTGATGTGTTTTAGCGATCGTTTGAGCAGAGCCACTCCACGCCTTTCATTTATTCATAACCAAAATGAGGGTCTATACGCCATCCCCGGGAGAAAAGTGTATTCAAAATTATGTTTCCTCTCATTTTTGTCTACGTTCTATAGTATTTGACTTTTAATATAACTGATTATGGGTAGGGGGTGGGGTATTTGGTTTGATTTTGAAATTTAAGAGGCAAATATTATGTCAGAGATAAAAATGTCAAATTTTAAGTGGGGTCCTAAGAATTTATTCAGATAATTCATGGGTTTTAAACACGATTGCTAATATTGTGATCACACATTAAGACTTTAAAAAAGAAACTAAAAAGAAACCAGAATACCATCACCAACGACAAAAATATGTTAGGAAACTAAAACAATAAATGAACCAATAGGGAAGAACTTGTGTGTAATTGACTGAAGCTACATTCGCTAGCTTTTGAATTCTTTCCCTTTGCTCAAGCGAGGTCTTTATGTTCATAATTTCAAAAGATATTTACATATTACTCAATGATCGATTGAAAATAATATTGGCTGAATCTTTATGTTTTAGTATATTCAACAGTTATTTCAGCTTAGTATTATTTTCTTTACTAACACATTCATTCCTTAGACAAAATCTTAGCAACGACTTGAAAGAAAAAAAAAGCATGCGGGTAAAAAACATAACCATTGACAATCTAAATTATATTCAGGAGACTATTTTTTTTCGTGTTGCCTATGTCCTTACCTATACAACTAATATAATTTGGTTTATTTGTAGTTCTACTTGGAATAGGTGAAATATCAAATCTCTGGAATTTGCCTTCGTCATATACCATTGGTTGATTTTTCACACATGACCAATTTTCATCATCTCCAAGTGAGAGCGATCTTTACAACATCGTTATTTGAGATTTAAATCCGACATCCGTGGACGAACAACTTACACGGTTTATACAGGAAAGCAATTCATTGCAAGAAGAATGCGATCCAGTTAGTGAACTTTTTCATCTTCAAAATGATGACTTTATGGTGATAACACAAACTATGGACAATGAACTTGTGGTTCAAATAAGGACGTATGACAATATTTGGGAATCTCAAAGGTACAAATTAATTTGTACCATTCAACAAAGTAAACTCGATAGGTTACATGCACGGTTAAACTACCTGATCATGCTGAAGGAAAGAATGGAAAAGAAGAAGAAGTAAGTCACTTTATAAGTGCTTTATAGCAACAGGAATAAAGACATATCTACTCACATATAATACCGTTAAATCTCTGTTACATAAGTATTCTCGAATTTTTTTTTTCTTCTCGGAGGAGAAGGAGGAAGGGGTATACAGGGGAGATGCAAAAAAAAAAAAAAAAGCGTGTGCCATAATTATGAGAAATAGACTGGATGTTCTAAAAAAGATGTTGATTGATCATGAAGCTGAGATGAATAATAGTTAATAATAGAATGTTAGACCACAAATAGAGGGTGGGTGCTCTAGAAAAGTTGGTGATGAAGCATAAAGCTGAATGATCCGTCAAATGCGTTGTGTATAATACGATACGGCGTTGTGGCGTTACATTGCGGCGTTACGGAATGTTACGGCGCTAAACTGCGGATTTACGGCGTTACATTACGGATTTACGACGTTATCTACGGCGTTACGTATCAAATAACAAAATAAATCAAATGACAAACTATAATTATAAAGATTCAATTTCCTTTGAATCAAATCCGAGTTAAACATCAACGAGTCAACACGAACACTTTCGATATGTCCAAGCGTTACGCTTGTTCACTATGCGATAAGACTAGTCGCAAGTTCGACATGAAGAGGCACGCACAGAATGTACATCATGATATGAAAGATCATGGGTACGAGACTGAAGATTCTAACGCTGGTGAAGAAGCTAGTGAAGATGATTTCTCCGAACCACCCTCTAAAAAGCAAAGAGTTGTAGAATCTAGCGATGAATCTAAAACAAGTGATTCAGAAAGAGAAGGAGAGGATGAATCGTCAAAGTCAGAGACACCTGACATGAAAGAACCTGAGGACAACCCTGCTTATCAAGAATGGTTAGAACAGGCCATGACAAACACCGAGGACCTCAGGGACAAAAAATATCAAAAATATATCTCCGATGGTATGGATGAAGAAGAAGCTAAAGAAAGGCTCACGTGAAAGTTCTATGCATGGGCTGTCAAACGCAGCTTTTTCGATCTTTACTCCAACTTCTTGCAGCAGAATGTGTACCTGGAAGAGCTGACATCAATCATGAAATTATGTTTGACCTCACTGAAAAAGTAGAAAATGGCTTGAATCTTCGGAAAGCCGTGAAAAGAGTATTAGCGAGACACGGTTCACAATTCGAGGGCTTATTCCAGTATCAGAATGAGAATGACGATGATAGTGAAGAAGAGACGGAGGGTACAGATGGAAGCGAAAACTAAGACTTGACATCACCTTGACAAAGAACACTTCGTCGACAACCCTAATAAGCAGTGGCGGATCCGGGGGGGGGGGGGCCGGGCGCCCCCCTTTGACAAAAAAAAAATCATGTAAATTCATGTGATTTTTACCCTTTTTAGGGGGTTGGCCCCCCCCCTGGCGCTCAAGGGGGGGGGGGGTGCAAATTGAAAAATTTCGAGGACCAAAAAAAAAAAAATTTTGCCCACTACCCCCCCACCCCCCCCCCCCCCCCCCCCCCCCCCCCCCCCCCCCCCCCCACTGAGCGACTTTTCGACCGGCGCGATTTTCAAATTTTCGGGAGCAAAAAAAAAAAAAAAAAGTTGGGCCCCCTCCCCTAAGAAATCCTGGATCCGTGCCTGCTAATAAGAGATGGCAAATTTACTCCATTTCAACGCTGTCTGCTTTTAAACGTGCATACCTGTACGGGTCCCCCCAAAAGAGAGAAAACTTTCTTTTATGTTTTAAAGATAGTTATACCTATACACTATATGTTTACTGTACAATTGTGTTAACAGTTTTTACATATTTACGATGAAATAATACAATAATGTGACTTGGGTTCTATTTATTTTCTCTAGTTAAAAATGTTTTGTATATTCTATCTTTGTTCCCTGGTAACATGACTACATTGCAATTCTTTAAAAAAAAAAAAAAAAAAAAAAAAAATCCCCTTCCACAGGGTTCTTTATTTTCAAAACAAGTTCCATCATATTCAGTATATCCATATATCATTTACAAATAATTAAATAAATCATTTCCATACATAATTTCCATAATAATAAAATACATGATCATGTTTATGATAGCACATTTCAAACACTCTCAAAACATTTTCTAAAGTGAAACCATTTCTTTTTCAATTTATTCTCTCTGAGATTTGTTTGGTATATATATATTTTTCCATTTCATAATAACGTTTTACAGCTGATAAAATTATATCAAATGATGGTAGTTGATTTCGTAATTTAGCTGAAAATATTTCTTGTCTTACAACCATCAGAACACAGTTGAGTGCATTATTATTGCTACCGCAAAATCCAAACAAAAACAATTTATTTTGATTTGTAAGTTTGATCCTTTCCCCCGTATTACGAAATATCCAGAACTCTAACTTCGACCATACTTCATTAGAACAGTTACAAAAGCAAAAAACATGTATGATAGTTTCATCACTGTTACTACAAAAAGTACACTTCTTGTCAGCCACTACACCAAATCTTAACAAACTGTCCTTCATATATAATATTCTATTTAAAATCTTGATTTGAAACCACCTCATGTTGATATCTATTGTTGACTGAAACGGAATTTGACAGTACGAACCCCAAAGTACATCTTGAAAATCTAAAAAACTTTTCCACTTTGTAAGGGCTTTACATTCTTTTACTTTGTTTTTTAGCAGAGACTGATAAATATGTGAACAACCAACATTTGTTTTCACCACAAGGTGCACGGCTTCGGGAATGATAGGTTCTAAGGCCTTACTAAGAGCTACATGTGTAGTCATTTTAAAACCTGACCGAATTGCATTACAAAGACCATAGTACTGGAGGAAATTTGTTTGTATGTCAAATATCCGCTGAAACTCAAAATATGAAAAAAAAGAAGCATCTATTTTTAGGATGTCGTTCACAAAACGTATTCCTCGTAAATTCCAAGCCCCAAAACATACCACTTTGTCATTCATTTTAATGTGGGGGTTATTCCAGAGAGGTTGACTTGCAATGTCGTCAATAAGAAGTTCGACCAAGTCTGACCAAGCGAAAAGTACCTCTTTCCAAAATGGATTTGGAGTCAAGTCTGCTAATTTTCTAAAATAATGTGAGCCCATATACAGGTGAAAAAAATAGGTTTGGGGCAAGAATGAATTGAATATGTGAAAAGTGAAACTTTCTATCTGAGAATCAGTTACAAATCTTCTAATCCATGATATTTTCAGGGATTTAGCATGAATGTAAATATCAATCATCTTAACCCCACCTTTATTATACATTTGACACATTTGTTCTCTATTGATTTTATCAGGTTTGTTACTCCATATAAATGCATAAAAAGAACGATTTATATCTTTCATAATTTGCGAATTCGGTTCTGGAAGTGAAAGAAATAAATAGTTCAATTTTGGAACCAACAAAGATTTGACTACAGTTATTCTTCCGAGGACAGTTAAAGTTCGTTTAGACCATGAAATAATTTGGCGTTTTATATCTTTAATTTTTTCAGTATAATTATGATTTACCATCTC